CCCTTGTATTATGGGGTGCTCTAGATAATTAGGTTTTTAATTTTGGGCTAGGGTGTTAATTAGAGGGTGACGCATGTTTTTGGTGTCATTGGGTCTATTTTTGGTGTTAGAAAGGCTTAGGCCCAAGTGGAGGGCAAAGGTTGCATGGTTTTATCATGCACCTAGATATAGCCAATCTAAACCCAAAGATTCCATCCTTGGCCACCAAGTTGCATCTAGGGTTCATTTGCATTTCATTTGGAGTGCATTTTCCTACTCCAAATGCAACCCTAGATGCCTCCCCTCCTATAAATACCCAATGCACCACACCTTGTAAATACTTTGGATTATATAGATTTTGAGTGAGCATTTTATGCCTCAACATCTCTTCCTTAGTCACTAGGTTAACTTTGGCTAACCCCCTTCATTCTCCACCCTTGGAGAGTGAAACCCTAGAGTGGCCTCCATCTACACTTGGAGTGAGCCAACCTTGAGCAACCATACACCATCCTTCACCCTTCATCATCTTGACGTCCCAAAACCATCTTCCCCTAAACATCCACATAACCTCTTCCCTTTGGTGAGCCTAAGATCTTTGGGCAAGGATTCCCTCTTCAAGAGTCAAAATCATCCATGGAAGGGAGGATCCCATCAAGTGGTATCTAGAGCCAAGGTTCATCAAGGGTAAAAACTCTGTCTTCCTTGTCTTCTTATCATTTTATTTCCATTCGGTCTTTGTCTTCCTTTTTCCCTTTCTTTGTATGGCCGAATGCTTTGGGTTCATATTCTTGTTCCTTGTGAACCTTCCTTGAACATTTTAGGTTTCCATTGTTAGGTATTTGCCATGCTTTTCTAATTTTTAGGTTGAGTCTCACATGAACATGAAGAACATGCTATGAACATGCTTTTGATTTTTGAATCCACCTAAGTTTTGTCATTTTATGTTTCCTATATTTTGTCTACAAAAAATTCCATGTATGTGCCAAACACTTTGCATGAATGCATGAGTCAAAAATACCATAATAGTGGGCGTGACATATAGAAGCTTTCTAGGAGTCATTCATGCATGCTACTTAGTCCTAGCATGTTCCTTGTATTTTTGAGTTTCCATGTGTGAAATGCTTCCTTGCACATGCATCTAACTTGCTGCCCACTTTTCCCTTGCATTCCACTTGTTATGGTCTTTATTTGATGCTTAATAACCCTAAAAGAGTCTAAGAGGTGTGCTGAAAAAAAAATTGTGCAAACAACTTGTACTAGATAGTACAAATCATTTTCCACTCAAAAGAAACCCTAAACACCTCTAAGAAACCGCCACTTGTCTTTCTCTCCTTTTCTTAAAATTTGACCTAATTTTCACCACCCACAAGTACAAAACCTAAGCAACAATGGGCTGAACATTAAAGAAAATAAATTGGACCCAAGGAACACCAAAAAAAAAATTGACGTGAAAATAGAAAACAAAAAAAAAGTATCAAAAAATTTTTTTGGACCAAAAAAGACTTGTTGCTAGACTTGTGGACTTGGACCTTTCCCTATGCATTTGGGAGTTGGACTTGTGACATTTTGACCCTATTTTGAGACCTTAAGAGTGGCTGGACCGAATCACTTAAAAGACTTAAGCAAGTGGCTTAAACATTAATCCATTCTAGTGCCATTCTAGGATTGATCTTTTGTGTGCTTCCTATTTTTAATTGAGTCTTAATTTTAGTTTGTCTTTTCTTTGGCCTCTTTTGCTTTGTCTCAATCACATGTATCCTTAGTGGTTTCATGTGATTCACTCTCTTTAGGATTTTCATTAGGTTCACTCTCCAATAGAGGTTGATCAAGTAAATCAGTCAAGTCTTCTATTTCAGTTTGCTTTGTCTCTTGTTTGTTAGTCTCATCAAACACAACATGAATTGATTCTTCAACAACTAGAGTTCTCTTGTTATAGATTCTATAGGCTTTGCTATTTGTAGAATATCCTAAAAAGATTGTCTCATCAATGTCTTAATTTTAGTTTGTCTTTTCTTTGGCCTCTTTTGCTTTGTCTCAATCATTTATCTCTGAGTTTAGCCTTTCCTAATTGTGCTTTTTAGTTTTATTTCTTGGACTCTTGCTCTTTGGGTTGGTTTCATTTGTTTGTAGGTGAAAAACCTATCTAGCAAACTAGCACACCTTTGGTGGATTTGAGTGGAGGAGTGAACCGAATCCAAAACTAGCCTTTGGAGGGATTTACACCACACCATGTTTCTCAATGACTTCAGAAGAGAAGTCTACTTTTTGTGGTGTTTTCAAGGGCAGTAAGTTACCAGATGGTAGTGCATCAAACATTTCAAGATGTGTGCACATTACTGAAAGGAAAATATCTGGTTATAAGAGTCATGATGCACATTTTATGCTACATTACTTACTACAGATAGCAATAAGAAGCACAATGCCAAATGCAGTGGCTCATCCTCTAATTCGTCTTGGTTGTTTTTTTCGCTCTTTGTGCCAAAAAGTTATCCAAGTCCATGAGCTAGACTACTTACAAGCAGAGATTGTAGAAATACTTTGTCAATTGGAGATGATTTTTCCTCCTAGCTTTTTTGATATAATGGTTCACTTACCTATTCATCTTTCCAATGAGGTTAAATTGGGTGGCCCGGTTCAATTTCGGTGGATGTATCCTATAGAAAGATATTTATGTAAGCTCAAGAGTTATGTTCGTAATAGAAGCCAGCCAGAAGGTTCTATTGCTGAGGGGTATTTGGCTGAAGAGGCATTGACTCTTTGCTCAAGATATTTACATAAAAATGTGGAGACAAGGTTGAATAGAAAGAATCGAAATTATGACAACAGTGATTTGTGTGAAGTAGATGCAGCTGATTACTTCACAAGTATTGGATGTCCTTTAGGGGGGAAGAAAAATGGGGAACCATTTGCTTTGGACTTTCAATCTACAGCCCAAGCCCATCGATACATCTTATTCAATTGTGAAGAAGTTCAAGTCTATATCCGGTGCGAGAAGTTCTCATTTTCCATCTATTGATTATCTCTAAATTATTTCATTTTATTTTTATACTAACAAATGACATTGTTGTCATTGTAGAGAGCATGATGATAGTATTAATAGTCACACTAAAAAACGGAAGTGGGCTAAGGCAAAAGTGCAGAGTCAAGATTTTAGTGAATGGTTTAGAAATCGGGCCATGAAAAATGATGTATCATTTCAGCTCAAAGAATTGTCAAGAGGACCAAATACTATTGCAAAGAGGTTTTCAGGCTATGCATGAATGCATGAGTCAAAAATACCATAATAGTGGGCGTGACATATAGAAGCTTTCTAGGAGTCATTCATGCATGCTACTTAGTCCTAGCATGTTCCTTGTATTTTTGAGTTTCCATGTGTGAAATGCTTCCTTGCACATGCATCTAACTTGCTGCCCACTTTTCCCTTGCATTCCACTTGTTATGGTCTTTATTTGATGCTTAATAACCCTAAAAGAGTCTAAGAGGTGTGCTGAAAAAAAAATTGTGCAAACAACTTGTACTAGATAGTACAAATCATTTTCCACTCAAAAGAAACCCTAAACACCTCTAAGAAACCGCCACTTGTCTTTCTCTCCTTTTCTTAAAATTTGACCTAATTTTCACCACCCACAAGTACAAAACCTAAGCAACAATGGGCTGAACATTAAAGAAAATAAATTGGACCCAAGGAACACCAAAAAAAAAATTGACGTGAAAATAGAAAACAAAAAAAAAGTATCAAAAAATTTTTTTGGACCAAAAAAGACTTGTTGCTAGACTTGTGGACTTGGACCTTTCCCTATGCATTTGGGAGTTGGACTTGTGACATTTTGACCCTATTTTGAGACCTTAAGAGTGGCTGGACCGAATCACTTAAAAGACTTAAGCAAGTGGCTTAAACATTAATCCATTCTAGTGCCATTCTAGGATTGATCTTTTGTGTGCTTCCTATTTTTAATTGAGTCTTAATTTTAGTTTGTCTTTTCTTTGGCCTCTTTTGCTTTGTCTCAATCATTTATCTCTGAGTTTAGCCTTTCCTAATTGTGCTTTTTAGTTTTATTTCTTGGACTCTTGCTCTTTGGGTTGGTTTCATTTGTTTGTAGGTGAAAAACCTATCTAGCAAACTAGCACACCTTTGGTGGATTTGAGTGGAGGAGTGAACCGAATCCAAAACTAGCCTTTGGAGGGAATTTTCTGAACTTCTTCACCAGCAAGTTGAAGTTCTCAGCTTCGGAATCTTCAGAGCTTGATTCTTCACACACCTCTTTGCCTTTGGTTGATTTCAAGGCCTTTAGTGATACTCCCTTGGCCTTTTTTTCCTTCTGTTCATTTTCCTCAAATATATGCAGCTTTTGCTCATGCTCTCTTAGATTCCCAAAGAAAGCAGCAAGGGTTAATGAGGTCAAGTCCTTTGATTCTTCTATAGTTGTCACCTTTGCTTGCCATGATCTGTCCAAGCATTGCAGCACTTTCAAATTCAACTCTTCTTTTTCAAATTTCCTGCCAAGGTCAACAAGGTGATTTATCAAGTGTGTAAATCTCTTTTGAAAGTCAGAAATAGATTCACCATTGTTCATTCTTAACAATTCATATTCTCTTATAAGAGTATGCTTTCTAGATCTCTTTACATCACTTGTTCCTTCATGAGTGACTTGTAAAGTATCCAACATTTCTTTAGCAGATTTGCATTGTGATATTCTGAAAAATTTATCAATAAACAATGCAGATGTAATGATGTTTTTGGCTCTATAGTCATATTATCCCTTTTTCTTTCATCATCACTCCACTCACTCCAATGCTTTTCTCTCTTCTCATCATTATCTTTGGTCATAGGGATATAGGGTCCATTTTCAATTGCATCCCACACAGCAATGTTAATTGCTTCAATGAAAATTCTCATCCTAATTTTCCAGTAGACATAGTTTTCACCATTGAAAACAGGAGGTGTATGAATAGACACACCCGCACCATAGGGTAGGATGCTATTGACCATTTTTGAAATCTTGAATAACACTCAAGAACCTTGCTCTAGTTACCAATTGTTAGAAAAGAATGGCTCAATCCAAGAGGGAGGGTGAATTGGATTCTATGACACTTTAAAAATTTTCAAAGTTTTTAGGATCTTTATTTCAATTTAAACTTTTCTAAAATGAATTTTCAAAGAAGTTTCTCAAAGACTTGTTAATGAAGAATGAATCCTATATGTTTTCTTGATTACCCAATAATGACATTCAAAGTTAAGAACAATATGTAATAGTTTGATTCAGTTCAAACCAATGTTGCTCATGCAAACATATTAATCAAGAACAATCTTTTCAATATACAACCAAGATACTACACAAAGTAAAAGATAAGGGTAAGAGAAGATTGCACTAGTCTTTTATCCTGATTCAGCCACTCCACATGTGACCTACATCCAGTCCTCAATCATAACCTGATCAAGATTTGTTCCACTATCTTAATGAAGAAGTTTTACAAGCATACCACACATGCATACACTCCTACATTCAAGATAACCACTTTCTTGACCTCAAGAAAGCACCCGTTGTAGAAACCCACTACAAGAATTCCTTACCACTTGAGAAACCTACTCAATATTTACAAGTATTCACAAAGAATTAAGGAACGAATTCACCTAGAATTCATAAGCAAATCTTAATCTTTTTCCTTTCAAGAATGTGATGATGATGATCTTTTCTCAAAGTATTCCAAAGACGTTTCTCTTCTTGGTTTCACAAAGAAAACTCCCCAAGAATGTCACAAAGACTTCACAAACATGTTTTTCTAATTTTGATTCTCAATTCTATCTCTGTTTTGAATTTTCAAAATGTTCAAACTATTTATAAGTTTTTCAGAACCAGATAATCGATTATTTTAAAGAATAATTGATTATTTTGTTCTTCATGATTTCTGGAAATCAACCAGGAATAATTTAAGCGATTATTTTGCTGGATAATCGATTATTCTAGAGAGTCATTTCTGGGATAATTGATTATTTCACAAATAATCAATTATTGCAGCAAGGTATCATTTTTACCTGTTGCTAGAATAATCGATTATATTTAATGATAATCGATTATTTTGAGTTAGTTTTCAAAAATCTTATTTTAAGTCTCAAAATAACTTTTTAACCTTTTAAACTCATCATCATACACACCCCTAATCAGATTAGACAAAGATTAGCTCATGCACAAAGCACACACAAAAAATAAACTCAATCAAAGCAATCTATAAGCTACTCCTATTACATAACATTTTTCTTTGACTTTGTTTTTGACTTCTATGTTGTTGATGTCCTTGGTCAGCTTTGTTCCACACATTTGTTATCATCAAAACCTTTAATCTCCAGAGGTGATCTCAATAATCTCAATTTCCCCCAATCTCAACAGAAGTAACCATGCTCAAATGAGTGAGAATTATATGATTCTTAAGGTTGGTATAAAGAATCAAATTCAGATTAATTGGGTATTTGTAGTTGAAGACACAATGCTAAAAATAAGAAGGCTGATAGATTACAAGTGTGCATATGTTGTATTCATAACCAAAATGCTAGCTCATTACAATGTACCTCTAGAAGGAGAAGCTAGAGAATCAACAAGAGATATCTATGATATTAAGGATAAATCTTTAAAGATGATGAAACTAGTTAAGACCAATACAGGCTGATTATCTAGAGAAGACGCACCCAATTTGGAAGTTATAGTGAACCTTCTCAACTTGAAGCGAAACCACAAGTTGAAGCTGAAGAGCCTAAACCTCTGTTAGCATTTGAACTTGCAATGTTAGCTAAATTGGATGACATGAGGGAAGCTCAAAGGCGAGACTATCAAGAGCTCAAGCAATGATTTTAGTCTATTTTTGAGCACTTAGATGCAATGAACATCCCTTATCTAGATGAATAGCTCACTCACACACTCACTAGGAACTGCATTACATTTATGTTTTTGTTATGTTTCAATGTAATTTATGAACAATTTGAATTCTGGTTTATAATTTATTTTTAATTTGGTCTTATGTTGAACAATTTACATTTCAGTTTTTTAATGGTTAAGGTTTGGTATATCTTTTATATAGATGTTTTTTTTATGTTCTATATATCATTGATTTCTTCGAATTAACTTTTTTTTTTTGTTTGGTTAAGCCAAACAGGGGTAGAAAATTGATGATATAGATTTTGTGGTTATATATGTGATTATATATATGTTAAAAATTGATGATATATATGTGATTATATATATGTTCTGTTTTGTGATGAGAAAATTGATGATATAAACATGAAGACAATGGATGATATTTGATCTTTATGGTTAATGGATTATATTGGATTACGCAAGTAAAATTTGCATAATGCTTTGTATTGGAAGTATTTGTTAGCTCTGTTGGTTCAAGCAACACACAATGTCACACCCTCTACCCCCTTTGTACACTTAGGCCTTTCCTACCTATCTTGCACTTCGAAAAACCATTTTGTGAAAACCCTTTTATCACTCACTCTTTGTGAAAATCTTTTTTCAAATCTTTTTGAAAACAACTTTGTGAAAACCTTTTCTTGATCAAAGATGAGTGATCATTCTAGTGTACATGGTCATAACTCTTGTAGTACTAGGTCTAGTGTTAGGGATGAACTTAGGCAACTAAAAGAGTACCTAAGAAAAAAAGAAGAGGAAAATATAAAAAGAGAGGAAGAGTTGAGAAGAAAAGAAAAAGAGTTTGAAAAAAATAATGAGGAAATAAAAAGGTTGCTTGAAAGACTAGTTGTGGGAGGAGAGGCTAGTGGTTCAAAACCAAGAGTCACTTCTCCTAAATCCTCAAAAGGTAAGGGGCATATGTTTCATTCAAGTGTTCATGAGGAGGAAGGGCATCATACCCAACCTCTAAGTGATATCTTTTATAGTAGTCATCACAATGATGATTACTATCAAAGACCCCCAAGGCAACATAGACATAGGGAGTCTTCCAATAGGGAACCCCACATCCCTCTTCCCCCATTTCATGGCAAAGACAATGTTGAAACTTATTTGGATTGGGAAATGAAAGTATAACAACTATTTTCTTGCCATGGAGTGAGTCAAGAGAGAAAGGTTTCTTTGGCAACCCTTAGCTTCCAAGGGCATGCCATGTATTGGTGGACCTCCTTAGAAAAAGAAAGAAGAATAAACCATGAGCCTCCAATTCAATATTGGAATAAGCTTCGTAGTGCCTTGAGAAGAAGGCATATTCTTCCATACTATGACCGTGAGCTTATGGACAAGCTACAAAGATT